ATCCACTGAGCCAAACCGGTTTCGGCTGATTTGCTTTTAATTTGAGTTGGATGCATTATATTCATTCTTGTTTGCTGAAAATAATTAAGGCTATGAATTTTTCTTTGAGCACTGGTTTAGTCATATCTTAAAATTTATTATGTAGTTGTTTTTGCTGTTATTTTCTCAATAACCCTGCAGGTTTGGTACTTATTACTTAACTCAAAATTTATTTAAGGCAATTTTATTTGCGAGTTTTATTGTTTCTACTGTGATTGCATTATAATTCAGAAATATCTGTCTTCTACTTTTTGCAGTTTGTTGATGTTTTCTTTAGAAACTGTGTGTACTTTTTATTACTGTTTCTTGGGTACTTGTCAAAAAGGTGTTATCTGTTTTCAAAGTATATTGTTTTGCTTTTATTCAGTTTTCCTCTGTCTCCATTTGGTTTTATATATTTTGAGACTAAGGTTTGATATATAAAAGTACTTAGCTATTTATATCTTTTCAATTGGTTTTTTAATAACCACAGAATATCTCTTATCCTTTATAATGCTTTTCTCCTTGAATTTAAAAAATCTGATATTACTGCTGCTTTCTTTAAATTTTGTTAGCATTTCTTGGTAGTATCTGTTTCTACATCCCCATCCCCACGCCTCAACTCCCAATTTCCCTGCATTGTTTTATTTCAGGAGCAATTTTTTAAAAACATATTTTTATTGATTTCAGAGAAGCAAGAAGAGGGAGAAAGAGATAGAAACATCAATGATAAGAGAGAATCATTGATTGGCTGCCTCCTGCACACCCCCTTTTGGGGATCAAGCCCGCAGGCATGTGTCCTTGACTTGAATCGAACCTGGGACCCTTCAGTCCGCAGGCTAACGCTCTGTCCACTAAGTGAAACGGGTTAGGGCTCAGGAGCAATTTTTGCAAAGTATATTCCTTAAGTTTGATTTTTATTTTCTTAACTCCTATTTAAGAGATTTAATTAACAAGTGAATTTAACACATGCACATTTATTAACGACAATATTGGGATAGTTCTTTTTGTTGCACTTTCTGTATCTGTTTAATGGATCAAGTTTTCTTTTTTCGTTTTTTTCTTCTTCCAATGGTTTGCATGTTTACTGATATAATTATCCTAAGTTTTAACTACACATGCAAAATAGCCAGTATTTTACATAAATTTTATAGTATTTATTTATAGTTATTACCCAACAACTTTGCCCTCCACTCCACCTACATACACTGTTAGTTTCTCCTTTGCTCTTTACTACTACATCTCATGTTTACGCTTGAGATTTAACTTCAGGTTATTTAGTTTTGTAATTAATAATTGCATTGTCTTAAGTGTTTTTATTTTTTTTCTGCATTATTTTTTTGTCTTAATGTTTTTACTTATTTCTAGCCCCAGAACTGACTACCTATCTCAGCCTTAGTTTCCTTGTGGCACTTGACTGATAAGAACAGCAATTGTTTGACGTAGGAGTGGAGTTGCTGGGTGGCATGTACATCCTGCTTCCGAAGTCCCAGTCACTTTTGAGGTAGTGTCAGGGTTCTCATACATGTCTTCATGTGGGCCATTCAGTGTTTTATGTAGGTTATCTTCTGATTCCTTGACTGCATTAAAGAATATTTCCCTATTGCTCTCTCACACAAATATCATCTTGTTTGGGTATTAAATTGCTGTCACCATCATTTCCTCTTAATAAAGTAGCAGGCAAGCCTGTTTTTCAGTAGAGGGTAGCTGTACCACTTGCAGGTATATTCATGTGCCAGATACCACTCTGAGTCCCAGGACTAAGTATGTAAAAGCTGAGTTAGAGTTTTCTTTTTCTTACAATTTTATAATTACATATACTTTTTTGTTGTTTCAGAGGTACTTTAGAATATCCAGTGGCTTATATTTTTCATGACAAAGGAATATACATTATTGCTACATTCTGGGAGCATTAAATTGTTTGGGAGACAAAAATTTCATACATAAAGCAGTTAGACCCAGAATGTACGTGGCCCAAATGATTATTAATAAGAGGCTTTTCAGTTGCCTTAAGAAAAATGGAAAGAAGCCTGGCTGGTGTGGCTCAGTGACCTATGAACCAGGAGGTCATGGTTTGATTCCCTATTGGGGCACATGTCATGGTTGCAGGCTTGATCCCCAGTGTGGGGCATGCAGGAAGCAGCTGATCAGTGATTCTCCCTTATCATTGATGCTTCTGTCTCTATCTCCCTCTTCCTTCCTCTCTGATGTCAGTAAATATATTTTTAAAATAAGAGGCGAAAATCATATGTTAAAAATTATTAGTTTGGCTCAGTGGATAGAGCGTCGGCCTGTGGACTGAAAGGTCCCAGGTTCGATTCCGGTCAAGGGCATGTACCTTGGTTGTGGGCACATCCCCAGTGGGGGTTGTGCAGGAGGCAGCTGATCGATGTTTCTAATTCTATATCTCACTCCCTTCCTCTCTGTAAAAAAATCAATAAACTGTATTTTTTAAAAATTATTAGTATTGCTCTGGCTGGTTTGGTTCAGTGGTTAGAGTGTCAGCCCACAGACCAAATTGTTGTGTGTTCAATTCCCAGTCAAGGACACGTACCTCACTTATGGTTTTGATACCCAACTCCGGTTGGGCACATGTGGGAGGCAACCAGTTGATGTGTCTCTCTCGCATTGATGTTTCTCACTCTCTCTTTTCTCCCCCCATCCTTCCTTCCACTCTTCCACTCTGTTTGAAAATCAGTGGGAAAAATATGCTCAGGTGAGGAATTAAAAAAAAAGTGTTGCCCTGACCAGTTTGGCTCAGTGGATAGAGCGTCGGCCTGCGAACTGAAGGGTCCCGGGTTCCACTCTGGTCAGGGGCATGTACCTTGGTTGCAGCACATCCCCAGTAGGGGTTGTGCAGGAGGCGACTCATTGATGTTTCTCTCTCATCCATTGTTCTGACTCTCTATGCCTCTCCCTTCCTCTCTGTAAAACGTCAATAAAATATATTTTTTTTAAAAAAGTGTTGCCCAGCCAGTGTTACTCAGTGGTTGAGCATCTATCCAGGAACCAAGAGATCACCTGTTTAATTCCCGGTCAGGATACCTGCCCAGCTTGTGGGCTTGATCCCTGGTAGGGGACTTGCAGAAGGCAGCGGATCAGTGATGTTCCTCTCTCATTAATGTTTCTATTTTTCTATCCCTCTCCCTTCCTCTCTCTCTAAAAATAAATAAAAACATATTTTTATAAAACTATTAGTGATATAATCTAAATCCATCAGTTTTTCAGAGAAAGGAAACACTAGTGGGGCTAGATTGTTAAATGAGAGGAGGCTGTAGAACTGAGGGTGTGTAAGTGGAAATTTGGTGACTATTGGAAACTACACAGGTGACCAACACTTTATCACAGCATTATACGCACTGTTGGCATTTGAATAAACACTTGTTTTATTTGGGCCACAGCTTCTGTTTCCTGAGTGTTTACATTATGCTGGATACTAGAACAAGACTGTACTGTGTACACAAGGAGAAAGACAGGTATAATCCAGCTAGTGAGTCTTGGCTGTTTTAATTTCAGGCCTGGAGGTTTTAACCCTTGAACAGTTTTCTGTGTCCTCACAACTCACGTGGAGACATTTCACTTTATTTATGTGACAATGGCATTTGTAAAGATGCATCAGAATCTCACAGAAACATTAAGCTGCTACAGAAGTTGAAGGTGGTATTGTGCCACTGTTTATAGATAGCCGTGTGTTTGGTGCCCTGTGAACAATCCACGTATGTAACCTAAGGACAGCCCTGCACAGTTTTCTCCTCGAGCCATGAGCTCAGTTAGCTTCCTGCACTCGCCCAAAGGCACAGAGCTTAGGGAGGGCCACCTGGGCTGGAAACCTGGTCCGGCTCGTCCAGAAGTTCCTGTGCCGTGCTGTCTCCATGTAGTTCTAGAGATTGGGCATACCTTCCTGGTTTAGGCATTTCTGTCCGTTTGTTTACTTATTTAATCTCTTCTAGGAGTTCAGAAATTCACTATCTGTAGTTCCTGATTGTTCATACAGTAGACAGATAGCTACTTCTGAGATTTATTTCTCCCATTTTGATCAGTCTCATAGATTTCATCCTGTTATCTTTCTCTTTACTTCCCTGTTCTCAGTATGATGCAGACTTTACATTTTAACACAAAAACATTAACTTTGCCTTTTTGTAAAGAAACAGACAAATTATTACCTCCCTCCCTCCCTTCCTCCCTTCCTCCCTCCCTCCCTTCCTTCCCTCCCCCCTTCCTTCCTTCCTTCCTTCCTTCCTTCCTTCCTTCCTTCCTTCCTTCCTTCTTTCCATCCTTCCTTCCTTTTTCAAGTCTCACCTGAAGATATTTTTCCCCGTTGATTTAAGAGATAGAGGGGACAGGAGGGAGGGAGAGAGGAACATCTATGTGAGAATGACACATCAGTTGGTTGCCTTCTGCACATGTCCTAGCCAGGGAACCAAACCTGCAATCCAGGTATATGCCCTTGACTGTGGATTGAACCCACGACCCTTCAGTGAGCAGGCTGATGCTCTACCCACTTAGACACACCGGCCAGGGCGACAGATTGTTTTCTACTCTTGTTCTTGTGTTGTCTTCCAAAGATGAAAAATAGAGGCCAAATACAATAAACATGAAGCAGGGTAAGAACAGTTACCAGGAATCGAGGATTCTTTCAGGGTTACCAGAACTTTACTGTGAGTTCCATAGTTGTATAACCAGTGCCTGTCCTCCAGTCAGAGAATAAGATGGACTAGGGATCGTAAGCACAAGCTGTCATGCACCCAGGAGTGGCAGTGGTCTCCATGACCTCGCTGGATAGGGAATTAGCAGAAGGCAGAATGACTGCTGGTAGTGATCTCTCCCAGGAAAAGGAGCCCGTGAATGAGGATGTCCCCGCACATTTAAAGTTTCATTCCTTTAGGATTGTTTTTCTTAGTGCCTTTTTACTTAGATGGCTAACTATGGAGGTACACTTTACTGGCTAATCTTTTCCACCCCTTTTCTTTTGTCGGGATCAGTGCCAGAACAGATAAAGCCCAGTGTAAGCCAGCCTCAGCCTGCCAACTCTAATAACGGCACTTCCACAGCAACCAGCACTAATAATAATGCCAAACGAGCCACAGCCAACAGTCAGCAGCAGCCGCAGCCGCCACAGCAGCCGCAGCAGCAGCCACAGCCACAGCAGCCGCAGCCACCACAGGCCTTGCCTCGGTATCCTCGTGAAGTACCACCACGATTCCGCCACCAGGAACATAAGCAGCTTCTAAAGAGGGGTCAGCATTTTCCTGTCATAGCAGCAAACCTGGGATCTGCTGTTAAAGTGTTAAGCAGCCAGTCAGAAAGCAGTGCTTTAACAAACCAACAGCCACAAAATAACGGAGAGGTGCAGAGCAGCAAAACCCAGTCAGGTGAGAGAAGGTGCTTCTTACGAGACTTCAGCTGTCATCACTAGCGGTGTAGCAGGTTTATGAATTCATGGCTTTGGGGTAATGTATTTGTATTCATTAGTATCTGGGTAGCAAAATCACGATTTGTACAGGGAGTTATGAAGAGGGAGTCTTGAAATGTTGCCTGTAAGGTCACTGCCCCTCCTACTTTACAAATCCTTTTAATCATTCTCCCTCCAGGTTCTACCTATTCTAATAAGCAGCTTAGAGTTCAAATTGATCATGCGACTATAACTAAAATTGAACACTCCCCTCAGTTATATTCTAAGCAGTTAGACATATTATTGCATTCAATCCTCAGCAACCCTGTAAGGTGTAAGCTGTTCTTCTCTCCACTTTTCATTAGAGGAAACTGAGGCACCAAGCCATGAAATAACTTGCCTAGATCACTCAGTAACCCATGTGCCATTAAAAGGCTGCCACTCATGAGAGTCATATTCAAACAGCACATGCTTTCGGTTGTTGCCTCAGAGTGGCTTTTCTCAGCTCAGTAATGATTGTGAAGCAGAAAGTACATCTAGTATGTGATTACGATTTTCTCAAAGCCCCGTGTGTTACGGCATGTTGTTCTGATAGGTTCTGAGGGTTGGTTGCTTTGTCCATTCCCTTTTCAAAATATTTTGAAGCTTTTATCACAGGCCAGATAGAGAATTGAGAATCAAGATTCCCACACATGGCAACACTAGCATACTGGCAATGAATCAAGTCTCTGGAGCCAAATGGACCTGGTTTTCGTATCCTAGCTCCACCTACATGCTCCATGTATGTGAGTCTCACCCGAGCAGCCCTCTCTACTGTCCCAGGCAGATGTCACTGTCCCTTTCTATGCTCTGTCTATGGAGCAGGAGCTGCTGTACGTATTATGGTATTTCACAGCTAATAAGTAGCAGGGCCTGGACTCAGCAATGTCTGTCTGACTCCAAAGCTGTGCTCATGACAACCATGCTGTGCTTTGGCAACATACTGGCTGTGATGGGTAAGGAGGAAGAGGACAAAAGTGCAGTTTTTCTAGCGTAGGGAATTAGAACAGCACGTTGTAATTGGAAAGGATAAAACTTGAATTATCACCCTGAGTTAATACTCCCTCCCCTCCAGACAGTTATTACCATGTGAGCTTGGCTAGATCACTCAGCTCACTTGAGCCTCTTTCCTACTCTGTCAGTGTAGGCAGTACTATCCAACCTGTAAGATTGCTCTGAGGATTGAATTAAGTGACATGTTAAAGCAAATAGCTTAGTGCCGAACATTGGGCACTGGATGAATTCTCTCCCCCAAAAGCTGTACAGAGGACCTCCACTTTTCAGAAGGAGAGTCTGCTTTAGACACAGTCCTGATGCTAAACAATTGATAAGTTGGTTTCAAGTTCATCTCTGAAGTCAGATTGGAAGCAGATGTATTGAGTCATCAGTATAATAAGAAATGCAGTTAAAACCTTAAGAGAGGCTATTATACAATAAATACTTGAGTACCTACTGCAAGCTAAGCAATGGTGGTATGGTGATTAAACAGGGAAGTGGGTGGTAAGTTGAGAAAATGATACATGTTGACTATATTATTTTTCAGTTTGGGAAATGAAAGAACAAAGCTGTTTTTGAAATGTAAACAGCTGGAGTGTAAGAGTCTTGTTTCTCAAAAAGGGACATGGTTCAAAAAATCCAAAAGCGTTACCGATGTACATTCAGATGACAAAGCCTAAGATGTGGGCATAGGAAGATGTCTTCAAAAGAGTCTGAGAAGGAGAAGTGTCCCACCTGTTCCAAAAGGACTTGACAAGCGCGAACAGCATTCATGTGGAGGGTGGGAGGAAGTTCAGGTGCAGCCGCCTGACTGCAGTCTGAGCTAGTCCCAACAACTAGAGTGCAGATGTTGAGGAAAAGCATTCTGCAGGAGAACCAGATTTGTGCTTTTGTCTCTGTAAACATTTGTGAATTCCCACCTACCAGCAGATGTCACACATTTACATTAAAATTTCTTTGTGGTGCTACTAGGAATGGTTGTAGAAACTTTAGCCACAGAATAGACCATTGGGTATCTGTGAATCAGGGAAGACTTCTTAAACAGTTAACTGTGTCCCAGCTCCTGAAAGGTTAATAGAACAATATAGTGACCAACCCTTAATTTAGCCTGGTGGTTGTGAGGAGCAGTGTCGTGGACAGCATCGCAGCACAAGCAGTGGCCCAGAAACAGACATTCTGTGTTGCGAACTATATGCAGTTCAGAATTGTGGGGGTCGATCTGTTTTCATTTTTGTCTGTATTTACATTTGGCTTTTTGTTTCCTGAATAAAGATAGTTAACGGAGTAGAATTGACATTTAAATAACTACATTCATTACATACATAGAAATGTATGTAGTCAGAGGTTTGTGCAATGCTGGATGTGTCTCCCTTTTCCTCATATAATGCAGTTCTCATTTATCCAGTGCAGTCTGGGAGTGGGAACAGTGCCTATATGAGATTGGGTACTTTATAAATCAGAGGTCGCAAACTAAAATGCCTTCACAAGCTGGCAGGTAAGTGATGTAAAAGGTGAAAGGGAGTGATGGGACCAGGGGTAAATGTACTGATTTTTGTACCCTGCCTGAAATATCTTTACATTCTCATGTCACGTTTTTTAGAACTCTGTGCTAGTCAAACCAAACAACTCTGCAGGCTGAGCTCAAACAGTGACGGTTTCAGCTGATGCTCTGAGACCTTTTGCAGTTGATTCCGTAGAGCCATGAGGCATCAGGCCCTGCTACTGCCCAAATGACACTGGAATTTGTGGAGGACGAATGCTTAACAGGGCTGGCTGCAGTTCTGTTCCTATGGGCCAAAGGGTTCCCAACCCACATTTTATCATCCAGCTTACATGATAAATACAGAGACACTGAACGAATAGAACAGTGAACCTCTGTATGCCATCCACCCAAATCTATCAGTTGTTACTACTTACCTATGCACCCCCCCCCCATCATATAGACATACATGTGTGCTCAAACATTCATTTCTCTTTATCTTAAGTACTTCCACAGGTAATTTCCTAAGAATAAGGACAGTCTCCTATACAGCCGTGGTACTATGATCACCGTTACGCAAAAGGGGGACACTCACATTTCTACTGGTTGTCCCAAGAATGTCTTTCTGTTTGTTCACAGTGTGGTATCACGTATATAAAATATAAAACACACAAAACAACAATGTATTGCTTAGTGATGAATTAAAATAGCATTTTGAGAAGTTACCACTTGGTTATGCAGTGGGAAAGGAAGGAGATATACTAGTAATCAGAAGGGTTACACAGGGGTTTCATACTAAAGCGAGTAGTATATTTCTTAAGGTGAGCGGCATGCAGGTGTTTGTATAGGACTCTTTGTATCCTTTCTTGCTTTAGAATTTTTTTTTAAAGGAGCTCAGGGACATTGGGCTATAATGGTGAAACACGAAGACTTGGGGGAAATATAAATGAAAAAATGTTAACATTAAAATTTCCAGTGATGTCTAAAGAATAAAATACTGTTCCTCCACCTGTGCTCTTCACTGTCTTTTCTTTTTTATGTTTTTATTGACTTCAGAGAGAGGGAGGGAGAGGGAGTTAGAAACATTAATGATGAGAGCAAATCATCAATTGGCTGCCTCCTGCACTCCCCCCCTGCTTGAGATCGAGCATGCAACCCAGGCATGTGCCATGTCTGGGAATCGAACCATGACCTCCTGGTTCATAGACCAGCACTCAACCATGGAGCACACCGGCCAGGCTCACTGTCTTTTCAATGAATGTGGTACATATCCTTGCTGTTCTGTAACTTCCAACTTGTACCTTCCCCTTGGTCTATGAACATACTCAAGTCTTGCCCAACTTGTACCTTCCCCTTGGTCTATGAACATACTCAAGTCTCTGTCACTCTTTAAAATAAGTTGCTTTAAACTCCCGTTCTCTTGAGACCATTCTAGAATTTCTTTCCTCCACTTTGTCTCAGTTCTTGAAGGAGTAGCCTGTACTTGCAATTTACTTCAGTCCTTTGTAATCTGACTCTACTCACTTGACTAATAACATAGCTCCTTCCAAGGTCACTCACTGATCTGTTAATATCAAGTACAGGCTTGATTTTACTTTTAAATGTGATAAAAAACAGACTTTTAATAGGTATCTACATGTTTTATTGTTGATCACTTTCTCCTTAAAGCCCTTTCATTTTTTTAAATATATTTTATTGATTTTTTTACAGAGAGGAAGGGAGAGGGATAGAGAGTTAGAAACATCAATGAGAGAAACATCGATCAGCTGCCTCCTGCACACTCTCTACTGGGGATGTGCCAGCAACCCAGGTAAATGCCCTTGATCAGGCTCGAACCTGGGACCCTTCAGTCCGCAGGCCGACGCTCTATCCACTGAACCAAACCAGTCAGGGCAGCCCTTTCATTTTTCATTGACCGTTTTCAGGTTTTATTCCTCCAGTAGCTTTGTTTCAGATCACTCCCATTTTTAGGTTCACGTGTTCCAGTCTGGATGTCTTCAGCTGATTTGAGGCCCCTCATGTTCAACTTGTCCAAAACTGAACTCATTATCTTAGCACATGCCAGTTTCTCCTCCTCATGCCATTGCTCAAAAGCTTGGCATCCCCATTCATCCAGTCACCCATGTAGAAATCTTAAAACCATGCTTGACTCCCCTCTTCCTTCTTAAGGTCATGGGTTTGCCATGCCCTGCTGATTTTAACTCCAAATGTCTCTGAGTCTTTCTCTCTCGTCTGCACTGCTGCCACCATTGGCCTGGCTGAGGCACTCGCCCTCCGGTCTAGAGCCCCAGCCCCAGAATGCCCTTTAGCTGTCCCCCACTTCCCCCACCCCAGTTCTCAAACCAGAACCCAGTCATGGTCCACATGTTGCATTTAGTTGTGGTATCACCATTATCTTTAATCTAGAACAGAGGTTGGCCTGTAGCCTGTTGGTCTCCACTCCCAGTTCTTTGCCTGTTGTCTGACTGCTTTCAAGCTACAGTGACAGAGTATTCATTGGCAGAGTAGTTGCCACAGGGAGCACCTGGCTGGCAAAACTTAAAATATTTACTGATTGGACTTTTACAGAAGTTTGCCAAACCCTGGACTAGAAGCTAGAATGACTGAAACATTTTGTACTTTCTCATGTAAGTGATGTTCGAAATTATACATCTAAGATTCTCGTATTTCCAATGATACCATTTCATACTTTCTGGAAATACTGTAAAACTTCAAGTATTATTTATTTCTTAAGGTCTTTCCTTTCTGGAGAGATTGAAAGTCTTCAAGGCAGAAAGCACATATTTACCGAAATATGCTAAAAATTTAATAAGAAAAAAAATATGAATTTTCCTGGCTCTAACTTCATCCTGAATAAACCACTTGACTTATCCGCAGTCTTTGTCCTGCCCCACACGTGCTCGCTGGGGGTCCTGGGCAGGTGCTGTGCGAAGCACTCTTGCATTCTTTCTCAGGGGTAGTGCTCGCGCTGCTCCACTATCGAGGTAATTGTGTGTGAGAGCAGGATGCTGGTGACATTTTGGACTTCAGCTGTTTCTCAGTGTAGTACAGTCATCCAAATCTTAGTTGCCTCAGCAGTGCAATATATAAAATTTTGTGTTTTGCATGCACTCAGCAAAACTCCACTGTGCCCTTTGTTCCACCTGCTTTTTACTGTTTCTTACTCTTCCTTACTCTTTCCTGTAAGAGTTTTATGGTCATCTACTTAATCATGTTTCTATACATGTGTTCTCCAGATCATTTATAATGATGGGTTTTAGCTTCCTTGTCTTTAAGGAACTAGATTGTCTTCCAATTCTGAAATAGTCTGACTGGGAAACGTTTTAGTTGTGATTGCTGAGGAATCTTACTCTATTACAGCTTGTTAGACTAGTATCTACACACACACACACACACACACCTGTGTTTTCTAGTTAAGCTGCAGCATTTTCCATACACACACACACACACACACACACACCTGCGTTTTCTAGTTAAGCTGCAGCATTTTCCGTAAGTAAAAAGGTCCTGTGATTCACCCTTGGTAAATGCAGTTTTGAGAATCTTTTAATTTAGTGTTTTTGGAAGTATCAAGTTCCAAGTTAAAAAATGAAATTTTATCGAGTAATTACTGTCGGCACCTCTCCTTATTTTACTTGAATACATAGCAGAAGGAGAATTTAAACCACCCACCATCTCCAAACGAAGTTGGGACTAGATTCTGAGAGAAATTTTCACTAGCAATTCAAGGTCTATGATAGAGTTAGTTTGCAAAATGTGTATTTTGCTGGCTTTTTTTTTTCTTTTTTTCGCTTTTGATGTATGTTGACATTTTAAAAGCTTTACTTTTTTGGCAAGTAGTCAAGCCTGCCATTTTTAAAATTTCTTTGATTTTATGTATAGAAGTTCTCATTCGCTGATAACTTCATGTTTTCCTCTTTTAACACTTAGATTTATTTGGAAAATTGCCTCATTTTAAAAAACCTTTTTTCCTACGGATTTAAGAAGCTAACCTGAGGCATGCCTCTGGGCCGCTCTCTGCTCAGTTGAAGTGCTTAGATGCCCTGGCAGGGCAGTGCTGTTCAACTCAGGGGATGCAAGTCGCCTGCCCCTCCCACTTGGCCACTCTTCTTTTTGAGATTTTTAAAAATTCTCATTTGTTTTATATGAATTTTTAATCACTCCCAATCAAGTTACAGATTCTTGTTAGCGATTTCTTTTGTTTTGTTTTTTAATATATTTTATTGATTTTTTTACAGAGAGGAAGGGAGAGAGAGAGTTAGAAACATCGATGAGAGAGAAACATCGACCAGCTGCCTCCTGCACGCCCCCCACTGGGGATGTGCCCGCAACCCAGGTACATGCCCTTGACCGGAATCGAACCTGGGACCCTTCAGTCCACAGGCCGACGCTCTATCCACTGAGCCAAACCGGTTTCGGCTAATTTGTTTTGTTTTGTTTTTTTAGCGATTTCTTATAATTGGATTAAACTTCAAACATTGTTACAGGTTCCTGTTGAGAAAATTTCCGTACCCATCAAGTTGCCTTCAATATGGCATGCAATAAATTCAATCACATGTTACTTGAAGGGTTTTTGTAGCTTTATTCCAGGTTGCTTTATAGTTTTTTGTGACTGCTACAATGAAGCTCTTCTTTCCCATTATATTTTCTTGTTGATTATTCCTGGAATATGGAAAACTATTATTTTTAAAATGTCAATCTTTTCTGTTTCTTTTCTACTATCTTTACCTCATTTGGGGGTCATATTTCATTGGTTAGTATTTCCAGCACAAGACTGTTTAGCGGTGCTGATGACAAATATTCCATCTTTTTCTGGTTATGGGAATGCATCTGATGTTTCATTGATAAATTCCAGGTCCCTCCCTCTATTTTCAGCTTGGGTGGTTTTGTCTGATATTCCCAATCTTATATTCTTATTCCTGCTGAATGGATGTGGCAACACATACACACACACCACACGCGCGCGCGCGCGCACGCACACACACACCAAAGAGCAAATAATGGTAACAGAAATACTTTTGCTATAGCCGATAAAGAGACAATGATGGTGGCTTCATTGCTTTAGATTTGGAGAAAAGTGGATGAATTTGGGGGCTTGGTGACGTTTGAATTTGCTGTGCACAGGAAGGAATCAAGGATAAATCTTACCGAGATGAGGAAAATGAGTAAATAAGTGGTATTATTTTTTTCTTTGGGGAGAAGGTACTTCGACAGGGGGCGGTTGCCGGTTGCCTGTGCTCTAGTGTTGCTTCAAGGACTCAGTGACAAAGTGCCCATGAAGCACATGGGCCGTACTGCTGAGTAGTGTTGCTGGCAGTTCAGGTGCTGGCATGTTGATTTCTTTATATCAAGTATGACGGACTGGCTTTTTGATACCCTTAATTTCCTGTGGGTACTGAAAGATGTCAGCTTAAAAAATGGTTCTTGCCCAGCCATTGCAGATCAGTGGTTGAGCATCAACCTGGTTCACGGTTCAATCCCCAGTCAGGGCACATGCCTGGGTTGCGGGCTCGATTCCCGGTGGGGAGGCATGCAGGAGGCAGCCAATCAATGATTCTCTCTCATCATTTTTTTCTATCTCCCTCTCTGAAATATATATATATTTTTACATATATATATATTTTTTAAATGATTCTTAAATGGAGTAAAAATCAGTCACTTATAGAACTTTAAAATAAATCTATGTTGAATTATGTATACATTTTTGGTGTCTCTGTAGTAGTCCTTTTTTCTGCTACTCTCTCTCGTTCCATCACCTTTTGCTGCTTAACAGTTGTGCTTTGAGAGAAAATGATGTTACTAATAGGAACTGATTTTTCTATTGTAATATCCTAATAGTGAGTTACATTTATTTTCTAGGCCTACAACCCAGAGGTGGGTTCATTAGGTATAGGGCATGACTTGAGCATATGTGTTAAAAGCACTGCAGCCCGCTGCCGTGGCTCAGTGGCTGAGCATTGACCTATGAACCAGGAGGTCAGGATTCGTTTTGATTCCTGGTCAGGGCACATGCCCAGATTGTGAGCTTGATCCCCAGTGTGAGGCGTGCACGAGGCAGTCAATCGATGATTCCCTCTCTCCCTCTCCCTTCCTCTCTCTGAAGTCAATAAAAATATATTTAAAAAATAAATAAAAACCTGCGGGAGATGAAGCAACCTGCCTGAGGTGGCCAGTGAAAGTTAGGGTCAACGGGTCACCCCTCCCTCTCTCTGAGTCCTACGTGGTAGTTATTCTTGTATTAGTTATTAATTATTGTATTTGTATTACAACTGTAAATGTACTTTTGTCCATCCCTGCATTTCTAATACATTTCCTTAAGTTTGGCCTGTTCATTTGCCCTTACCCATCTGCATCTCAGACTTTTCTCCCATGTCGGGTCTCTAAGCCTGGGTTGCTTCATACACACTAATGCATTGCTACCACCTCATCCTTCCTCACATGAACTTCTTCTACTTGCTGATAAGTTAGGAATTAATTCATTCAGCAAATATTTATTGAGTAGCTCTTATGTTCCAGATACTGCTCTAGGTTCTCAGGACAACATTGATGAGCAAAGTGCAGACCTCCCTGCCTGTGTGGAACTGATTGGTGGATGTGATGTAACCATTGCCCTTGTAACCGTACTGCCAAGTTTTGGGTTTTTTTTTTAAGAAATTAGTTCGTCTTTTTTAAAATTAATCAGTTTATTTATTTATTTTTAATCCTCACCCAAGGATATTTTTCCATTGTTGTTTTTTTTAGAGAGAGAGTGGAAGAGAGAGGGGAAGAGAGAAAAACATTGATGTGAGAGAAACACATCGATTGGTTGCCTCCTGCACACACCCAGGCCAGGGAGGACAACCAAGGTACATGCCCTTGATCAGAATCGAACCCAGGATCCTTTGGTCTACATGCCGACACTCTATCCACTGAGCCAAACCGGCTAGGGCTGTACTGCCAAATATTAATATCTTGTTGATGTTGAGGAGCCCCATACATGTATGATAGCCACATACATGGCTAATCAATTTTTCAAACACTTCATAAACTTTTGTACTTTTATTTTAGATACTAACCACAACGCTTCCGGATCTCATTATGAAAATTCACAGCGGGGACCTGTGTCTTCTTCGAGCAACTCCAGCACAGACTCTAAGGATGCTGTTGTAAACAACTCCCCTGAGAAAGAAGCATGGCCCTTGGTCCTTGGCAGTGATCCAGAGTTGGCTTCAGAATGTATGGATGCTGATTCTGCCTCCAGGACTGAATCAGAGAGAAACATCACTATCATGGCTTCAGGGAGCACAGGTGGTGAGAAAGATGTCCTTCGAAACAGCACTGGACTTGGTTCCCAAAACAAGTTTGTGGTTGGCGGCAACAGCAATAGTTTGGGTCGTGGAAGTAGTACTGGGCCCTGGGGCTTCTCCCATGGAGCCGTAATAAGCACATGTCAGGTCTCTGTGGATGCTCCTGAAAGCAAGTCAGAAAGTAGCAACAATAGAGTGAATGCTTGGGGCACTGTAAGCTCTTCATCAAATGGAGGGGTAAATCCAAGCACTTTGACTTCAGCTAGCAACCATGGTGCCTGGCCAGTATTAGAGAACAACGGACTTGCCCTAAAAGGGCCTGTAGGGAGTAGTAGTCCTGGCATCAATATTCAGTGCAGTACCATAGGCCAGATGCCTAACAATCAGAGTATTAACTCTAAAGTGGGTGGTTCTTCTACCCATGGTACCTGGGGAAGCCTTCAGGAAACTTGTGAATCCGAAGTAAGTGGTACACAGAAGATTTCATTCAGTGGTCAACCTCAGAATATCACCACTGAAATGACTGGACCAAATAACACTACTAACTTTATGACCTCTAGTTTACCAAACTCCGGTTCAGTACAGAATAATGAGCTGCCCAGTAACTCGGGGGCCTGGCATGTGAGCACAATGAACCATCCTCAGATACAGGTTCCATCGGTTATGAATGGCACTTCCCTTCCTCACCTTAGCAATGGAGAGTCAAAAAGTGCAGGCTCTTATGGTACTACCTGGGGTGCCTATGGTTCTAACTACTCTGGAGACAAATGTGCAAGCCCCGACGGCCAAGCTGATGGTGACACTGTGAACACAACTCTGATGCAGCCTGGCATGAATGGGCCTGTGGGCACGAACTTTCCAGTCACCTCAAATAAAGGAGGAGGCCTGTGGGAGTCTGGGGCCACAAATTCCCAGAGTGCATCCTGGGGAAGTGGAAATGGTGCAAACTTGGGAGGAAGTCGAAGAGGATGGGGAACTCCTGCACAAAACACTGGCACTAATGTACCCAGCGTGGAGTGGAGCAAACTGCCTGGCAATCAGCATTCCAGTGACAGTGCAAACGGCAATGGTAAGAAGTTTACAAACGGATGGAATTCTACTGAGGAAGAGGATCAGGGTTCTGCCACATCTCAGACAAATGAGCAAAATAGCATGTGGGCCAAAACAGGAGGTACAGTGGACAGTGAAGGTAGTACAGAGAGCACTGGACGCCTCGAAGAAAAAGTAACTGGGGAGACTCAGAGTAGAGACAGAAGAAGAATTGATCAGCACACATTACTCCAAAGCATTGTTAACAGAACTGACTTAGATCCACGTGTCCTATCCAACTCTGGTTGGGGACAGACTCCTATTAAGCAGAATACTGCCTGGGATACTGAGACATCACCTAGAGGGGAAAGAAAGACTGACAATGGGACAGAGGCTTGGGGAAGCTCTGCAACACAGACTTTTAACTCAGGGCCATGTATAGACAAGACTAGCCCTAACAGTAATGATACCTCATCTGTATCGGGGTGGGGAGATCCCAAGCCTGCTCTGAGGTGGGGAGATTCCAAAGGCTCAAACTGCCAGGGGGGGTGGGAAGATGATTCTGCTGCTACAGGAATGGTCAAGAGCAATCAGTGGGGGCATTGCAAAGATGAGAAGCCCATGTGGAATGATTCACAAAAGAACAAACAGGGCTGGGGTGATGGACAAAAGTCAAACCAAGGGTGGTCTGTTTCTGCCAGTGATAACTGGGGAGACACATCAAGAAGTAACCATTGGGGTGAGGCTAATAAGAAATCTAGCTCAGGAGGTAGTGACAGTGACAGGTCTGTTTCTGGTTGGAATGAACTTGGTAAAACTAGTTCTTTTACTTGGGGAAATAATATAAATCCAAATAATTCATCAGGATGGGATGAATCTTCTAAATCTAACTCTTCCCAGGGGTGGGGAGATCCTCCAAAGTCTAGTCAGTCGCTGGGTTGGGGAGATTCGGCAAAGCCAGTCAGCTCTCCAGACTGGAACAAGCAACCAGACATTGTTGGGTCTTGGGGAGTCCCTCCAGCTCCAGGCAAACCCTCTGGTACTGGCTGGCTGGGAGGGCCTATTCCAGCCCCAGCAAAAGAAGAAGAGCCCACAGGCTGGGAGGAACCATCCCCGGAATCCATACGGCGCAAAATGGACATAGATGACGGAACCTCAGCGTGGGGAGATCCCAACAAATACAACTATAAGAATGTGAACATGTGGAACAAAAATGTCCCGAATGGCAGCAGCCGCTCAGACCAGCAAGCACAGGTGCACCAGCTGCTGCCATCTGCAAGTGCCATCTCAACCCCAGAGGCAGGCGGCTCCGGTGAGTTGTTACTTTGTGGAGTCAGTCGGATGGTCTTACAAACACTTCACAGGACTGTGGGCCTTGTTTCAGCTTACTTTGATAAGATGTGTTAAACAGTATTTGCTGTGCACACAGAGGCCTGTTTTACTCTAACCCAGAAGCTTATAGGGAAGAAAAGTATAGGTAAGGTGTTCACCATCAGGGTGCAGCTCTGCCTTCGGCAGATCAGGTGTGAGTCTGGCACATGTTGTTCTGTTAGGAATGCTGCCAAAGGCAGGATTGGAAAGGTGGTGTCGGGTGGGGATGCTGTACACTTATCTCAGTTCTTCTGAGTCAAGCTGCACTTTTTCTTCTATTATTGGAATAAAACATCCTCAGAAATAAAGCAAGTGTTAATGACCATGCTCTAAATACTAGGTACTACGTTTGGCCTTAGCAGGGATTGATCTGAGCAGGCATGAAATCCAAGTCCATTAGATGCACTGTGTATGAGTGTGTGTGCCTGGAACATTTGGCAGTGCCTTTCGAGTATATTCCCACTTTCCCTCATAAGGAGCTGATTTCTGTCTGCAAATGATCTTGACAGTGACATTTTCATTAGGTGTCTCTGGAATGTATTGTCTTAATTATTAATTGGATGTGGCAATAGGAGTGTTTTCATGAACAAACCGTTCAATGCCCAATTTTTATCCTGAATATAATTTATTGAATTAATTTAACTAGTTTAATTCTTAGAAGAAACAGCTATCCAAGGGGGAAGGCTGTTCTGTTGTTGTTTTTTTAAACATGTTTATGGCTTTGCCTTTCTTTGCTTTGGACAATTTAATAATATTTCAAAATTTTTAAGAGGCATTGTCCAGCACATAGAAACGTAGGGTGCCTTTTTCCCGAATGATGATGATGAAAGGTTGCATGTATGATAAACATTCTATACACTCACTATTACCCAGCATGATCACCTGCTTTAATTCACTAGGTGTAGTTCAGACAGACTTGACTTTTCAGGAATTAAATTTATCTTTTTAAAAGGAGATGACTTGCCATGAATAAGGTTACTCAAAAGAATCTACTCTATACACAGAGGGCACTTACTGCAGTTAAAGTACAATGATGGGAAGTGACTTGTCTTTACATACTATAGATGCCATTTTTTGCTCATCACAGCATCACTATATAATATGTAAATGTGAAGTTCTTCATCTTTTGTTCCCTAAGTATTCCTTATTGCCTCTGATTCCACTGTACCTCCCTACCATGTGCTGATGACTTCTTTTCCCACACTTTCTAAAGGCTGGGGTGAGCCCTGGGGGGAGCCTTCTACTCCAGCCACAACTGTGGATAATGGTACTTCAGCGTGGGGTAAACCCATAGACAGTGGTCCCAGCTGGGGGGAACCCATTGCTGTGGCATCCAACACTTCCACGTGGGGCTCCAGCTCTGTTGGTCCACAAGCGTTAAGCAAATCTGGTAAGTTACTGATAACCCCTGGTAGCTCTTTTATAGCAGTGGTGATCTCATTGAATGTAATTGATTGGATCATGTCTGTCATTGTTAAGGTAGCCATGTATCCTCATATTAGATGCCACTCACTGTTTGGCTCTTTGAATTTTTAACATAGTTTGCTCTTTACCTTTTTGAATTTTCCTATCTTTTCTCAGTTTCCTTAGAACTGCAACTATTAATGATTTGCATATACTTCACCAAGTCTAAATTATGTTTTACCAAATTAGGTTATCTGGAAATAGTCAAGCAGCTGTCAGCATGAGAGACGGAATATAATAGTCACAGGGACACATATACCAACTGTCTGGCACAGGTTCCAGATGATTCCCTGGACATTATACAGAAAATGAGCAAAGTTCAGGAAAGACCCGGTATTCAGATGAGCATTGTCATTGTCCGATAGATTGTGTATAGGACGCACCGTAGAAATTCCAAAGGCCGAGGGTATAGACAGGATGCTTTCTGCATGTGACCTGCAATACTTTTGGCCACTTGCCCTGAAAATATATATGAAAATGAACTCTTCTGAGTTTCATCTATCTTCTTTGTCCTGTGTGTTGCCATGCAGATGAAGTGCATGCAAACAAGAATGCTGCTATGGTCCCATGTTGAGGAGCCCTCGGATTTGTAAAAGCATGGAAAATGTTTTTTTAGGACTTTTAATAAGAATAAATTCTTGCTTAATGAAACTTTTAACTCAGTATTGCTATGCAAATTTGGGAAGGGAAATAAAAGGGGGCTTTTTTATTCCCACACCCTGCCCTCTTACTGTATGCTCATCCTCCAGAAAAAGTTGTTTTATTAAAGTACGTTTCTCTTTGTATCACAAATCCACAACCAGGACCAAAATCTATGCAAGATGGCTGGTGTGGTGATGATATGCCATTGCCTGGAAATCGCCCCACTGGCTGGGAAGAGGAAGAGGACGTGGAGATTGGAATGTGGAATAGTAATTCATCTCAAGAGCTTAACTCGTCTTTAAATTGGCCACCATATACAAAGAAAATGTCATCGAAGGTAAACATTTCAAGGGCAGTGCCCTTGCAACTTTAAATTCCAAAGGTAGTTTACCCAGAGAAAGTTAATGTTCTGCCCATTTATGGCAATCAGTATAGTTCAGGCAGTCCCCAACTTAGGCATAGCGTCCTGTATGGGCAGCCACCTAGGAAAATAAGACCACAGGAACTTCCTTTCTCCCCACTGCTACAGCTTGGGATTTCTCCTCCTCCCCTCCCACCAGTGCTGCCTGGGACAACCCTTCACCGTAAGGTGTTGCCTGCAGTGGTGAGGAGGAAGAGAAGGGCAAATCTCCATGTTGACTCTTGCCATCGCACTGCCAGTTCATCTCCCATTCCACCTCCTCACCTGAAGTGTCCCGACTTCCCCTGTACCCAGAGTCCTCCTCCTCCTTACCCACTCATTACCTTTGCCCCTTTCCCATCCCAAAAGGTTCTGTGACGAAAATCCCTACGAATGAGCCGAGCTCACATTTGCTTTTATATGTAGGCAGATCTTATTCCCAGACCTGGCTGTACATCAGAATCATGTGGGATTTATCAAAAGTACAATTTCCTGTATCCCAGGCCTACTGTACTTTGGAAATTGAGCCACGTTACATGTCCTAGACAAGCTTCCCAGTGTTTATGCTGCAGAGCCAGGCTTGAGAAGCACAGGTGTAGAGCTCTGGTTCTTAAGAGGTGGTGTTGGATGCTGGTGTCTGATTCTCCTGGAAACCATTTTCAAAACACGTGCCCACTCCCCCAGGTGATTCTGATACATCCTCCCACTCTGCTTGAAACTTCCTTTTTGAGAGACCCCAGGAGTCAAGTATTTTGTAGTACAACTACCTGGCTGCCAGGGTCCCTCTCTTTTAATCCTGGGATTCTAAGTCTAGGACCTGCCATTTTCATTAAAAAACGTTTTTATTTGGCTGAATTTGCCCATTGCCTCACCATAGAGCTTATGAAGTGCTTTCCCATATTTCACATGAATCATTTGATCCTTTTAACCTTCTGAGATAGAATATTGATGAATTTCAGACTAGAAAAAGTGGTGACTTGCCCAAAGTTGCATAGCTAATCAGTGACAGAGCAAGGACTTAAGTTTAGATCTTCCAGCTCCAAACCCCGTGTTCTTCCCACTGGACCATGCTGTTTTGTGACTTTGTCTTTCCTTACAGGGTCTGAGTGGCAAAAAAAGGAGAAGGGAAAGGGTGTGTAGCCTTTTTACTCTTTCTCCTTTGTTTCTACTAGTAAAAATCTTTTAGAAAACAACTGCAAACATTTATTTAGCCTCTGCTGTGTGCCAGGTACTGTGCTTGGTGCTGGGGGTTCAAAATACTAATCTACTAGCTGCACCTTCAAGGAGCTCAGAGTCTAATGCAGTCATTAGGAGCTCTCTAAGCAGTGTCAGCTTGACATTGGAACATGCCTGCAGGGGGGCGGAGGGGGGAGTGTTTTAAGGAAAATAGTAGCTTGACATAAGCAAAATGTTGATTTTTTTTTTTTTAGGAGATCTGGCTATGTAGTTAGACTAAGGGCAGATTGTAAAGGGTTTTCAATACCATGCCCAAGAATTTGAACTTTAGTCTGTATAAGTATGGAGTCAATGAAATTGAATAGAAGGTAACATTGGTTTGACTTTTTAAATTAATTTCTTTAAAGAACTTTAACCAATGATAGGATGAAAGATAAATTGGAAGAAGAAAGAACAGCATTAGGGATCTGAATTGGGAAGCAAGAATGGATACATAGTGGAAGGGACTGATCTGAGAGACATTTGGAATAGGACAGAAGTCCTTGGCAACCAGTTAGTCTTGGGGTGGGAGTAAAAGAGGAAAAGGAATCAAAGACACTTCAGAACCTCACAAAGGGTTAGGTGCTTGCTTCAGAGACCTGCCTTTAGGGGGAAATTAAGCCGTGTTCTGTTCCACAGTCAGAAGGAACAGGTAGTAGCATTGGGGAAGGGAAATTAAGGTAGCGGACTAGGAATGGTCCTGTGAGCTTTACATAAGTGGGAGACGTTGGCCCCTGTGGCTTCCAGTCTCCCTGTCTACCACCCTGCTAACCATGGACCATTCATTCTCTCAACTCACTTTCCAAAGTATATTCTGTGTGACCCATATCCCAACCAGCCTCCGAAAGCCAACACCAACTAGGAGGAACCCCAGGTTTAACTGCTGCTAGGGATGGTGTATTCTTGGCAACACAAATTAAAATTTTGAAATGCTTTACATATGGAATCGTATTTTTTCAAGTATAGGGCACGTAGCATAATTAGATTATGGGGTAAGCTGGTTTCTTTGGGCTAACCTGAGAACCTGATGACTGTGTTCACTTTGGTTTGGTCTGAGAACTCTCTAAAGCCAAACTATAATTGACCCTCAGAACACAGTCCATTTGAAAACTAGAAACTGAGCAGTTCTCTTTTATTCTGAGGCCCATTTTGTGGGTCATGGAGGCCCCTTGCTTCTGTCTTTTCCTTCTGACTGCTTGCCTTCAGGGAGTTCTCTGTACATTACAGCTATACCAGAGGACTGGAGCAAAGGAAGTTGAAAATCCAACAAGTTGATTTAAATTTTTAACAACTCTGTTAAGAGTTGATTGGAGGAGAAATTGGCTAAAAATGAGAGTTGAGAATTGTCTTAGTCTATTAATCCATCGCTATTCCCAGATAAATAGAAATGGCCATGGCATCTTTCTACTCTTTTATTTTACAAAGGGAATGATGAAGGGTGGAAACAAACAAGAAGAAGCATGGATAAATCCATTTGTTAAACAGTTTTCAAATATCAGTTTTTCGGTAAGTGTGTTCTGTTTTCTTAACAAATTCTTTATCTTTGAGTTCTCATGAATAAACTTGAGATTAGAGTAAAATTGGCCCCAGAGCCTTTATTTTGATAGTTTGAGCTAATGAACTGTAGTCACTTATTTAAAAAGGCTTTTTTTATTAGGCAGTGAAAAATGAAGTTTTATGATGCACTTGAATTTCACAAATAATGAAATACCAAGTAAAATTCTTTATTTTTTTATTTTCATTGATAAATTAAGGTCTGCTAACATGCTGCTTTTTCTTAACTTCAGAGAGACTCACCAGAAGAAAATGTGCAGAGCAATAAGATGGACCTTCCTGGAGGTGAGGGAAATGGAATGAGTTTGAGTTTATGTTCATTCCGATGGACAG